CAGTATATTCTAGCTCATCCTGATTATTCAACACAATTTTCTATCTCCATCCCCAGTATTTTGTAGCTCATCCCCAATATTCCCCAGTATTTTCTAAATCATCCCCAATATTCCCCAGTATTTTCTAAATCATCCCCAATATTCCCCAGTATTTTCTAAATCATCCCCAATGTTCCCAAGTATTTTGTAGCACATCTCCAATATTCTCATGTATTTTCTTGCTCATCCGGAATATTCCATACTATTTTCTAGCTTTTCCCGAGTATTTTCTAGCGTATCCCTAATATGTTCTAACCTATCCCTAATATTCCTAAATATTTTCTAGCTCATCCTCAATATTTTTTAGCTAATCCATAGTATTTTCTAGCTCATCCCCAGTACATTCCAAATCATCCCTAATATTTTCTAGCTTATCCCAAATTTTCTCCACTATCTTCAAGCCCTTTCTTAATATTTTCTAACTCAACCCTAATATATTTAGGCTCATACATGTTTATTTCTAGCTTATCACTAATAATTTCTAGCTCATCCCCAACATTTTGTAGCTCATCCTCAGTGTTCCCCTACATTATGTAGCTCATCCTCAGTGTTCCCCTACATTATGTAGCTCATTCCCAATGTTTTGTACATCATTCCCCAGTATTTTCTAGTTCCAGTACCATTTTCCCCCAGTATTTTGTAGCTCATCTCCAATGTTCCCCAGTATTTTGTAGCTCATCTCCAATGTTCCCCAGTATTTTGCAGCTCATCTCCAATGTTCCCCAATATTTTGCAGCTCATCTCCAATGTTCCCCAATATTTTGCAGCTCATCTCCAATGTTCCCCAGTATTTTGTAGCTCATCTCCAATGTTCCCCAGTATTTTCTTACTCATCCCGAATATTCCCCACTATTTTCTATCTCCATCTGCAGTTTTTTCTAACTCATCCCCAATATGTTCCAGTATATTTTAGCTCACCCCCAATAATTTCAAGCTCATCCCCAGTATTTTCTAGCTCTACCCTAATATTTTCTAACTCATCCCAAATATTTTATAGCTTAGCACGAACATTTTTTAGCTCATCCTCAGGATTTTCTAGCTCATCCGTAATATTTTTTTAGCTCATCCAGAGTAGTTTTAGCTCATCCCTTATATCTTATTGCTCATTCCCAGTATTTTCTAACTCATTCCTAATATTTTCTAGCTCATCCCAAATATTCCCCACTATTTCTAGATCACTCCTATTATTTTCTAACTAATCCTTAATATTTTTAACTCATCAGTATTTATTTCTAGTTCATTCTTAATAATTTCTAGCTCATCCTCAGTATTTTGTTAGCTCATCCTCAGTGTTCCCCTAAATTTCTTAGCTTGTCCCCAGTATTTTGTAGATCCATCCTCAGTAATTTTTTAGTTCCTGCCTCAATGATCCCCAATATTTTCTAGCTCAACCTGATTATTCCACACCTTTTTCTATCTCCATCCCCAGTATTTTCTAGTTCTAGCCCCAGTGTTCTCCAGTATTTTCTAAGCCATCCCCAATATTCCCCAGTATTTTCTAGCTCACCCGGAATATTTTGCTCTTTTTTCTAGCCTATCCCGAATATTTTCTAACTTATCTCTAATATGTTCCAACTTATCCCTAATATGTTCCAACTCATCCCCAATATTCCGAAATATTTTCGAGCTCATCCCAAATATTTTTTAGATCATCCATAATAATTTCTAGCTCATCCACAGTATTTTCTAGCTCTCCCCTATTATTTTCTAGCTTATTCCGAATATTTTCTAGCTCATCCCCAGCGCAGCATTTTCTAACTCCTCCGTAATATTTTCTAGCTCATCCACAGTGTTTTTATTTCATCCTTAAAAATTTTCAAGCTCATCGCTAGTATTTTCTAGGCCATGTCTAATATTTTCTAACTCATCAA